TAACAAGTCTAAAGGAGTTCTGCCGTGCTGTGGAGTTGCTAATGCTAATGGTTAGCATTTACTAGCCGAGACACAGTCTGCTCTCTCCTGACTGCCAAAATCAACACAGCTTTCGCCGTCATGAGCCAAGATAGGTGAGTCCATGAATGTTAATTTTACAGTGTGACGTAGATCTGTGTGGCGTTTCCTGACCCGAGCGTTTCTTTGTCTAGTTTCTATCGGCAGGTAATGCAGGAACCAGGGGTTCAAGACTATTTTCACATTCTGCATGCATGTGGAAAGTCGGTGTTTTCAAAAGAACAAGTATTAAACATTCCTCAGTAAACGTGATCTTTAAAGAAAGAATGAATGGGGCATCCAGTGAGAGCTTTGAAGATGAGTCTAAAGTCTCCAGACCTCAATCCAGTAGAGAATCTGTGAAGGGACTTGAAAGTCCATGTTGCCCAGCAACAGCTTCAAATCATCACAGCTCTAGAGAAGATCTGCATGGAAGAATGGGCCAAAATACCAGCTACAGTGTGTTTAAACCTGGTGGAGGCCAACAGGAAACGTTTGACCTCTGTCATTGTTTACTGAGATATTGACATGAACGTTTGTGATTCACCAAATACAAATAAATGTTTTAATCATACAACGTGATTTACTGGATTTTGTATTACATTTTGTCACTTACAGCTGAAGCGTATGATGAAAATTACAGAGCTCTATCATATTTTTAAGTGGGACCATGTGCACAAACGGCTGCATTCAAATGCTTACACTGTGAAGATAAAGATTTGTTAAGGGAGGTTTTAAATATGGCCTCATTCATACGTTAGCTCAGGAATGCTCCTGACACGATTTTCCAGAGGTTATATTAGTGTTTTAGTTTCACACAGCAGCAATATCTTTGCTGGTTTCTAAATGAGGAGTCCTATCTGTACCCTGGATCCCATTTCCACTAACCCCCCCATTGGGAAGCTCCTGAGGGAGGCTGTTCCCATGCTGCGTAGCAGAGACACCTGCAGTGTTAACAGTACGGTTTTCAAGGCAGCCCATGTGATAAGCCTTCATCTGCCTTCAGAACAGTCCCTCCCCTGCTCAACATATGGCATTCCTCTCTCACTTTTCTCCCACAGTCAAACACACCAATAGACACTCTGACCTCCAGCAAAATCAAAATAAAACTTTCCCACATCAACAACTTCCAAAGCAGGGAAACACAGATAAAGGCCAGAGCTGTGTGTTCTCTCAGCCAGGAACATCTCTGGAAAATATGTCTGGGATTATTTGTAATCTCCATAGCGACACAAGTGTGCCGTTCTGATGCCGCCTTTACTAACACTCGCAATTAAATCATCACCGTCATTAAAGGATTCAAACACACAATGAGGTACTGTCAACACGCGATGCCCGCTGAGCTTCGTGAGCCGCGCTCTAAGCTAGCTGACACCCGTGACGTTATGGTGAGAGTGGGGGCCTGGCGGAGAGTAGGAAGCTGTCAAGGAGGGGAAACCCAGTGATGGTCCCTGTGCCATCATTGTTTATGTTCCCATCTTGGAGGTGGAAAGCATCTCTCACCCTGAAGGCTCTGCTGTGTGTCAAACTGCTGGAAGACTTTCATTTCTGGTCAAAACAGAAGCTCCTGATCACATTCAATAATCAGCTGCAGACTGGGATATGAAGCATCGATTTAACACTATAATGTCAAATGTATATTAATGTTAATATTCACACATATCTTCATGATTATAGATTAGTCATATTTAAAAGATACAATAAGATAAATAATAATGTAACAGTTTTATTACGATTCACTAGTGATTAAATAATTTTATAAAATGTAATTGTTTTAATGTATCAGGCTTTAATCTACTTTTTGCGTGTCTGTTAGGGCTTCTCTACTTCTAAAACCTGTCAGAAACCAAAAACATTGAATCTTTTTAAGACATTCCAAGACAAACCTACATAAATAAAAGGTTTTGCACAGTGAAAAAGTTGTGTCTCTTGGCTGTTTTGCATCTCTTTGTAACTATAATTTTCCTTGCAGTCTGAATTAATACAAATATTTGTGAACATCTGTCCTGGTGTGTTGGCAACACGGGTGGTCAATCAGATTTCTGGGGAGGGGGGGTTCTGACCTCGTTCCCACCAACCGACTAAGACGTTGAAGGCTTATGAGGTTCTCCTGTCATCTCTGACAGGTTCTCATTTGCTTTCATTCAGCATCTCATCACAGCTTCAAAGATGAGTTGGTCCTCTCCCTCGGGGGTGGTGTGTGTGTGCGTGTGTGTGTGTGTGGGTGGGTGGGTGGGTGGGGGTGGGGGTGGGGGGTCAATGTGCCCTCCAAAAATGACTGGTATTCAGAAGTTTGTGACCGACGGCAATTTTACTCCTCATAATTGGCTTCTTCACTCTGTCTGCATTTAGCAATCACACCAAGGTTATGACGCATAGCTGCCTGGAAAACATTAAGTAGATATTGTAGAAGTGATTTAGCAACATATAATTTTCTCTAGGTGAACTAAACAGTGTTATTGAGATCTGCAGACTGTAGCCTCCAGTATACAAAGTTGTTTTTTTTTTCTTCTAACTAATAATGATTCTGGTAGTGTGTGTCATAACCAGGATCGCAGGTCTGAGCCAGCTCTGAAATTTGTTTGGTTCAAGAAAACCCCAAAGGGCCCACAGTCTGTGGCTGACACACAGACACACACACACACACACACACACACACACACACACATGCATGTACACAGACACTCACATGGATGCACGCACACAAACACACGCATGCATGCACACACACATACACACACATGCATGTGCACACATACACACATGCATGTACACAGACACCCACATGGATGCACACACACCCAAACACAAACACACACATGCATGCACACACATACACACATGCATGTACACAGATACTCACATGCATGCACACACACGCACACGCGCACACACACACATACACACATGCATGTACACAGTCTTTCACATGGATGCACACACACACAAACACGCGCATGCATGCACACACACATGCATGCATATACACACATGCATGTACACAGACAGTCACATATATGCACACACACACACACACACACACAAACACATGCATGTACACAGACACTCACATGGATGCACACACACACAAAGACACGCATGCATGCACACACACATACACACACATGCATGCACATACACACATGCATGTACACAGACACTCACATGGATGCACACACACACACAAACACATGCATGCATGCACACACACACATACACACATGCATGTACACAGACACTCACATACATGCACACACGCGCGCGCACACACACACACACATGCATGTACACAGACACTCACATGGATGCGCACACACACACATACACACATGCATGCACACACACACACACGAGCATCCACTCTACGTAGACAAAAAAAATTCTAAATAAAGAATCTTTGTTCATCGGCGCAACAACATGTGACATCTTGGTCAGTCAGGGTGTGATGGAGCTCCACACCTGGTGTCTGGAATCCAGTTTGTGCCCGTGGTGCTCAGGTGTGGAGGAAAACCAGTAAGCTCATCTCATCCTTTCCTCGGGGCTGAAACGTGAAGGACAGACAGGGGAGAACCCCATGACCTACATGGTGCTCTGTAGAAAATGCTTGAGCAAAGGGGGCAGGGTGCCTTCTGACTCCTTCCTCTCTTTTTGCACCTTCTCTATTCCGAGCAGCAGGTTAAAGCTGAGTATGTCCAACCGCTGCCCTGGGGGGATGTTATGACAACCAAAAACGGTGAGCAGTAGGAGCAAGAAGTGACACGAACAGATCTCAGGGTTTCTGACATGAGAGGGTGTGTGAAAAGGACCTCTGTTGAAAGTGTCTAGCCTGAAGATACAACCATCAGCTCATGTACCATCAAGTCGCCGCGGGAAACTGTCTGGGCCCACTTCTGATTGCTGTGCTGAAAGAGGAAAATAAATACAGCTACCGGTAGTAAACAGAAGCCTGTGACAGCACGTGCAGATAATTATGTTAAAGGATGCTTGAATTTACCTGTTCAATCATTTCCTTCATTTGTTGTGTCTGTTTTGTTTGGGTTTTTTTTTCTTTCCAAACCATCAGACACCGGTTTTGGGTAAGTTGGTTGAGATGTGGTTTGTTAAAGTGCCAAGCAGTGCCCCAGGACATTTTCTTCATCATTCAATCACCAGGCAGCTATTGTGAAAATTTTGCAACTTCTTCTGGGAAGTCCAATCATGACATTTTCACACTGTATTCTGTGTTAGATTCAGATTTATTTCATTTAAGCCTCTTGTCTCCTTGGAGAGCCAAGCAGGCTAAGGTTGTGAGATGGATGCCACTAGATTGGCAAAAAATAGAAAAAATAAAAAAAAAATCTGACATCAGTTTGTCTGTGAAAAGGCGCCTAAGTCTAAGAACCAAAGGGAGAAGGCTGAAAAAGTCTAGCCTCGGGACATGCTACTTAGGAGTCACCTGTCTGCATGTCATGCATTTAATCTTGTGGGTTTAACAGGTTTTATTCTTCTTCTTCTAAAATAATTTAATGGAAATGTTGACTACAGCCATGGATGTAAAGAAGAGAAGTGTGGCATTCCTTAAAGAAGGATTTGATATCAGTGACATCAGTGCAATGATTTAGTCTGTGATGGCAACACCAACTTCATCAGTGGGTGACGTGTAGGGGTCATGGTTTGCCAGCCTGCGCTTACACACCAATAACGGTGTAAAGGTCTGCAACGTTTTTTGCAACGCCAAAGATCGTCAAGTCACAAAATGCAACTGAAGCAAAACGTACAGCATTATATATTTAAAAGTATGTAACCAATTAAATGTTGCTTTAGGCAAACAAAATATATTATAATATATGTTAGTGTTAAGAGAAAATGATGGGCATGTGTTGTAAAAGAATTGAGTTTCTGAAATTTGAGGCGGAGTGAGCGCTCTTACTTTTCCTGTGGTTCTCGCGTGATCCCGCGCAGCTTCCGCTTGTCATTTCCGTACACAAAAGCTCCGCTGATGACGTGTACACTCCTCAATCGTTAGCTAAAAAGCTTAGCCACCTGTTAGAATAGAGGTATTGTAATAAATAAGTTATCAAGGAGACGGCGGTAGAAACGTTGGCTTTGTAACGATGGAGACGCTCTACCACCAGACAAACAAGTGAGTACAGCGGGCGGGTTTGTGTGAGACTTTATTAGCAACGTTAGCTCTTCTTAACTATCTAAACAACGTTTACAGGGTAGCTAGTGTAAACACACACACACGGCCGGAATGAAATGTGATGTTGATGCATGTAGATAAGTAAAGAAACAGTCAAATGTTTAAGGTGTTTTGGTTCTTGTTCAGTAACGATTGTTTTATTTTGAATAGACAAATCCAGGAGGTGCAGTCTCAGATGGGAAACCTGGAGAGGACAGACCGTGACTCCGTTCACTGTGAGTAAAGGACGATCATCAGTTATGCCAGGATTCGTGTCAGCTCATCTACACATGCGTCTGTTTTGGTTTAAAGGTGTTGCTGCTAGTGCCCTCTCCTGTCTTACTTTCCCCTGAATGTCTTGCTCATTTCCCTGTCAGTCCCTGCTGTGGCTGACTGTTGCTGTTTCGGATGTACTGACAGAAGGAGGAGGGCTGATGCCTTTCTGGCTGGTTGTTTTCTGTAGTTGGTGCCTGTCAGGAAGTAGAAGGGTGGGAGCCAGTCAACCCTCCTCCTCAGTTCCTTCACAAACCATGACATCACCTTTTATTGTCATCAAGAGCAGACCTAAATCCTACAGAAGCTAATGAGCTAATTTCCCTTGTGTTTTCCCCTATTTGTATGTACAAGTGTTAGAGAATGAACTCCAGGCTAGAATCGACCAGATCTTCAATCATCTGGAACGCCTTGAGATCCTCGCCAGCAAAGAACCACCTAATCGCCGCCAGAATGCCAAATTGTGAGTTTGGAGTGAGTCATTTGACAGTGTCCATAAAGCTCCTGATCTGACGAGGTGAACTATATCTCATAAAGACACCAAGAGGGTGTAGAAGGCAAAACACACAGCCTCCTCTTGCCCTGTGGCGACGTGGCTCTGTGAAAACATTCCCCTAGAAGCCCCGTCATCACAAACATTCCTGCTGCGTTGGGCAGAGATTCATCTCAGACTTGGGTAAACAGCCCTTAGGGGACACTGTTCACCCCATCCCAGAGCTTTCCTGTGATCCTGGCAGGAGGACCAAAGTGAAGCCAAAAAACAGGGCTTTTCATTCCAACTGCATGAGATCTGAGCTTCAAAAGAATGGTTCTTAACCTAGAAACAATAAATACTGGGATTGTGTCTGAGACGAGAGACAATAAGTATCATAGTGAAACATTTACATTTTAAGAACAGTTCACAAAGTTTTTGTTTTCATTTTTTTGTTGGAATTTGATTAAATTAACTTGCAAAACAAACCACAGATTTCATATTTTAAAAACAGAAGTTATCTATTTTTTCCTACTTGTAACGCGGGTGGTGATTACCAGAGAATATTCATGAGGAAACTTGTTATCAATGTCGTTAGCTGGACCTGCATATCATCATATCAGCAGTGTGGAGTGAATATTTGGTGCTGTCGTTTGCTCTCCATCAGACGAGTGGACCAGCTCAAGTACGACGTTCAACATCTGCGGACGGCTCTACAAAACTTTCAGCACCGACGTTACGCCAGAGAGGCCCAGGAAAGAGAACGGGAGGAACTCCTGAGCCGCACCTTCACCACAAATGTAAGTCCCTTCTACGTAGCAGCATTCTCTAATGCAAACAAACTCATTTTAAAATCCAACACATTTTTTTGTGACACTGTCCAATAACTGGACTGGTAGTTCGGCACACAAGTTCAGGATCGTTACAAATAAAAATGATCTTATCCAACAGGATGCAGATACCTCCATTCCTATAGATGAAACCCTACAGTTTAATACCAACTTGCACAACGCACACAGAGGCATGGACGACCTCCTGGGCAGTGGCTCGAGCATCCTCAATGGGCTCCGAGATCAAAGATCTACTCTCAAGGTCTGTGTCATCTCTAAATACATGCGAGACAAAGCAAAAGTGTGTGAACATTTGTTTTCTTTAAGAAAGAAATTCTATTCCAGAATAAATTTGATTTCTATTTCCTGACCCGGTTTCTGGTGTCCACAATTGACTTATTGTTCCTGAGCGTTTTCTAAGTGGGTGGTGTTTCCAGGGAGGAGATGGGCTTCCTGGTTTGGCTTCAGGCCTCTTATCAGGGCGTGACTGCTGATCTACTCACAGCCTGGCGGTCCAGTCATGAGAAACCGCTGACTTGAGAGTGGCGCGTCAGGGAGGGTCCAGGCCCACTCCCAAAATGAGATGAAGTAGTGCCGATACTGTTGACAGTCGTAATGTGATCGTTACTGATGTGTTGGGTTTTTTATTCACAGGGAACACATAAGAAGATGCTGGATGTGGCCAACATGTTGGGTCTATCGAACACGGTGATGAGACTTATAGAAAGGCGAGCCACCCAAGATAAGTTCATCATGATCGGAGGAATGTTGCTGACCTGCATCTTCATGTTTCTGGTCGTCAGATACCTGGGCTGACATCCAACCACCTGTTTGCCAACAGTTAAAAAGTTCTGGACATTTCAGCATTTCGTCATCCCACATGATATGAATTTTAACATTTAAGTGACCTATAACTGGTGCCATTATGTTTTCCTTTTCCACATGGATTAGCATCATTTTACCCTGGATTGTTGCTAAATGGGAATGCTGAAGACTCGACGTACAGACAGTATTTTACAGCACTTCAAAGTCCTGATAGCCTGTTACTTCTAATCAGTCTGCTGCTTCCTCCAGATTTACTACCAAACATCTACTCTTATCAAAACCACTGTAAACTATTCTTGTTATTGTTTTCTTCCAATGAAAAAATCATTTTTTTTTCTCCTTGGTTTGTCATTTGTCTTTTCATAACAAGAGTATAAATGTAAAAATGCCCATTATTTAATTTGTCTGACTAAACTAACATTTTCTATCCTGTGCTGATGTAGTGATTATATAATACATATGAGCTACTGTTAGCCAACGTCATAAGTGCACTCTGCTCGGTCGATGCAGATTTAACCGTCAAGTGGATGAAAATTTTAATTCAAGAACTGAGGTACATGTTCAAAAGTCTAGTTGCTTTCATCTGAATTTACCAGAATCCATACCCAGTCCAAATCTTAGATGTAGCTAAGATCAGCATCTTTTACAACACTAACCTTAAACTTATTGTGAAATGGTCTCTTTAGAGAGCTGTGCTGGCTGTCAGCCGGCCTGCTCATTTAACAAACTCATTAGATGTGTGCTGGTATTTATTCCAATGGGAATTATGAAGGAAATCCACTTTTCTTCCACCAAGTCCAAATAGCCTTATGTACATTTTAATGATAAAATTATATCATTGCAGGGCCATTTGTGTCATCTAGGAACTAGGCTATAAATGAGAAATAAGTCTAAAAGGTTTTACTTAAAGGTAATGTTCTGATTGTCAGGCTTGTCCTCTGTGGATCTTCTGTCAATACAGGAATGAAGTGATTTCCCAGACACAATAAAAACATCTAGCTGTGCTGCTGACAGGAGGCCATTTCACTGTTTTTCATGTGGATTTGACTGCATGTGTTCAGTGCAACTAGAGCGCCCTCTACTGTTGGCTAATACCAGCAGGGATTGCCGGGGTGTTTCTGGTGAACGTTATGAAGAAAAAAAACGCACGTGCGCTGAAGGTTTTATTTTGGTGAAACAGAGTTGTGTTTTTTTAAATACAGTCGCTACTTCTTGACAGACGTCTTGTTGCAATCCCAGCCGGTGTCAGCGGGACGATTGAGAAACAGCCTGATAAAACACACGTGTCCAACTTTTATCCCACTTTATTTTTCCTAATAGCTCTCGACCTTTAAGTGTTAAAAGGTTAATCTACAGCATTCTTATTTACAAAATTACACAAAAGCCAAACAAGGCCCTTCTTCTGAAGAGAATTTGGAAAATAATTTAAAAACAAAATTACAATTATTGCAGTATACTACACTCATTGTTATGTGATGCAAACACACCACCTCAATGTACAGATTTCAGTGCAATTCACTCATGTGTACCCTCAAACAGAAAACAAGTTTTGCCTCAGAGAATCAGTAAAACCCTTGCATCAAATTCCTCCTTAAGGACAGCGCTATACCAGTTTAGACTGCAGACATGTCGTTTCATGTAACTGTTGGCCTGATTTTTCACATTATACACTGATATATGTACAAATTACAGCAATACAAACTATCTGAAGACAAGTAGAAAACAGGTTGTCTAATGGGAACATCAATGTAGCAGAAATAACCAAAATGTGCAATCTCAGCAATATCTTGCATTACACCGCTGAGGTTCATTTCTGTAACATAGCCACTTTTCTCCTGCCATAGCAGGACTCTGTTTACTTCTCTTAGTCACTTCGGTTCTCTTTGGACGCTAAAAGTAGCTAAACCTGTAATCGTTTATGCAAAAATCTCCAGTGTGTTTTGTCAGCCTGGATTAAAATAAAAGCCAATTTCAATAGAAAGTTTGTCTTGACTCAATATTTAGATAAAGCACGAGGGGAAATAAACCAAGCTACACAAACTAGATGATGACAATATTAGTGTTGTTTTTTTATCCCAAGGCAGGTTTCCACCAGCGTGGTTTAACTTACAGGTGTCGCGTCTGACACATACGTCTAAATCCTCAGACCAATAATTGTTCTGTCCTGCGTTTAATAGCTGAATCCTGTAATTATCATGTTTCACGTCCGTTGTCACTCAGGAGCCATGATTAGGCGGGTGCTGAAGGTCCTGTCCTGAGAAAATTGGGTGCAGGAGTGGGTGGAGCTGCAGAGCTGCCGCTGCAGCAGCCTGGGAGGGACGTGGGGCAAAAAGTGTGGGATAAAGAGCTGCATGCGGGACGTGGTGGAGAGCTAAGGGGGTGTGGTGAAGTGCAGACGCAGGGATAATATGAATGGGCTGACCAGACAGGAAGGCTGTTGGGTGGGCAGGAATCAGTCCTGCATGTCCCAGTGTGTGTCCCAAAGAATGACCAAGAGAGGGGGCCAAAGGAGACAAGGAGATGGGAGTAAGGTGGTGCTGCGGAATGTGATGTACCTGGGCCAACTGAGCGTGTGCGGGATGATGGTGGTGGGGGTGTGCTGGGTGGATGCCCATGGCTGCAGCAGTGGCTGCGTGGTGTTGCAGGATGGCATGCTGGACGGTGGCGATGGACGTTCCTGAAGCTACAGAAACGGTGGGCTGCTGGATGTGGATCTGCTGCAGGGCTGGTGGAGCGGGAGCTGGAGCCAAGTTGGCAGCTGCGGCAGCTGCAGCTGCAGCCGCTGCAGCTGAGGGAAAGGCTTTGACCTGCTTGGCCAAAAGTTGCTGCTGAATGTGCTGCTGTGCTGCCTGTTGCAGCTTGCTGTATTTTTCCATCTCCTCTGGTGTGAAGGTGATGGGCTGACTCTCCAAAGGCGCCAGTCCATCCTCTTCTGCCTCAATGCTGTCCTCCTCCAGACTGGGGGGAGGGTAAGTCGGGTACCCGTGCACCGGGGGCTGTTGTTGCATATCAGGCATTAGAGACTCCATCATGGGGTTGTGGGAGGAATCCTGTCCTGATTCTCCTTGGTACTGGGACATCATCATGGAAGGGTCCTGTTCAAACATCGGCAGAGGGTCTTGGTGTACCTGTTCCTCAGACGTGGGTTGCTGCTGCATCTCTGCTTGAGTCACTGTGGTCTGTGGAGCCTCTTCAACCTTCTGGACTGGTGGAGCTGGTGGTGGTGGCGGTGGAGGAGGAAACTCTCTTATGGGTTCAACAAGGATCACCTCTCCATCTGCTTCCGAGTTCTTTCCCGTTCCAGATTTCTCTCCCTCATCAGGTCTGGTTAGGGAGAGCAAAGGTTTCTTTCCTGCCTGAAGCTTACCAAAAAGCGGCAACATGGCTTTGCTTCCTAGAGTCGGGGGTAGTTTAGGACCAAAGTAGCCCTGTGGCGGGTCTTTAATCTTACTCCCAGATTTTGCTCCTGTGGTTGAATCATCTGAACTCTTTTTGGACTGAACCTTCTCCAGCAGTTGGCGTGCCGTTAGCGTGTTTCTCTGTTCCCCTGCATCACGGGACCCGCCTGGCCTCAAAGCTTGCAAGCCGGACGAGTGGGTGTTGCGGTTAAGGCCTCGTGACGATGAACGTGGGGACTGGGAGCGGTAGATACGGGAGCGGTTGAAGTCTCTGCGATTTGTGTCACTGTCCCCTCGAGCCCTGGTGCTTCGTCTGTGCGGGGAACCTTTGTTTGAGCTGGAGGAACGGCTGCCTGAGCTTCGGCTACGGCTGTAGCTCCGCCTCCAGGATCTTGTACTTGTGCTGCGACTCCAGCTGCTGGAACTTCTGGAGCTGCTCCGGTGACGGCGCCGATGCCTCTTCCTTCGGCTGCAGCTACGTGAATGTGAGCGAGAGTCCTCTGAGGAGGAGGAGGTGTACTGATGTCTCCTGGACCGTCTACGTCCTCGGCTGCCCCTTCGTTCATATTCTGAGTCTGAGGAGCGTTTGGAGTGCCGCCGCCTGCGGCCTTCTGTGCTGTAGTCGCTGTAGCTGTCCGAGTAGCTGCGGCTGCGGTAACTGTAGGCACTGCTTCCTGCCGAGGAACGCTCTGAGCTACTAGAGTACGAGCGACTACGAGAGGTCTGGCCACGATGGTGCCGACGACTGCTGCCCCGTCTGTCCCCCCGCCTCGATGAGCGGCTGCAAGACCGTCTGGATTCTTCACTGTGGTGGCGTCGCTGCTCCCGTGGACTTGACTTGTGATGGCGTGAGTGCTGATTGTTGGAGCCACCTTCTTCTTCACTTTCGCTGCTGGGGGGCCTACCATGACCAGGACTCTTTTGAGCAGCAGCAGAGCAGGAGGCACTTTGGGATGCGCTGGAGTCGGTTTTTTGTTTCTTGGTACTACTGTGCTCCTCGGAGGAGTTGGGCTTGTCGTTACTTTTTCCGTTTCCTCCTTGCTCTGCTCCAGTCTTCGAAGGCACTTCCTTTGCAGCTCGTTTCCTCTTGCCCAGTTCAGTTGCCGTGGATGCTCCACCACCGGTTGTCAGCTGAACAGAAGAGCTAATGGCCTTATCTTCTGACTTTGGCTTAGCCTTTTCTTTTTCACCACACGTCGTCTTATCTGGATTCTTGTTTTTGCTTTTCTTCCGTTTGTGCTTCTTCTTCTTTTTGGGTTTCTCCTGCGTAACATCAGTCTCTTCTGCATCTTCTGCAGCATTTTTCTCTTTTCCTTTGTGTTTGGAATGCTTTGCAGATTTTTTATGCTTCTTCTTTTTCTTCTTCTTCTTTGTACTACCACTGGAGGTTTCAGGTTTTTGTTCATCACCGTCCGGCTGGCCAGGCTCTCCCTTCACCACTGACTTGTTTTTATCAGTGTTCCTATCAGGCTCCGGTGCTGCATCTCCTTCAGCTGTTGAAGCAGCTACTTCCTGTCCTTTGTTATCGGTCTCTTCAGCAGGTTTAGGAGACTTTTCTGCTTTTGCACCATGCAGTCTTCTGTTTCTAGACAGCTTAAAGTCAAAGTAGAGAGGGTTGCAGCTGTAAGACAGTGAAGGCAAAGCTTTTGTGAATTCAAGCAGCTCTGTGGGCCACTGCAGGGTCGTACTTTCATCTTTGCTCAGGACTGGGAAGAAGGGACCAGTAGGGATTTTTGGACCCGTATTTGAATCCGCCGTGTTCTGTGTTTTCTCCTCTTTCTGAGGAGCACAAGTGGGCACTGCTGAAGCCGTGTCTTCTACACACACGGAAGCATCTTCATCAGGCTTTGCTTCAGGTGACGGAGGAGCTGGCTCTGGGTCAGGGGCTGGTGCATCATCTTCTTGTTTTTTTTCCATTTTAACCTCAGTTGCTTTAGACTCTGTCTGATCACAACTTTCCTCAGCCTGTTTCTCCTCCTGCACCTCTTCCTCATCTTCCTCATCTTTGCTAGCACCCTGTTCAGTTGCCTTCATGAACAGCAGAAACTGAAAGTGGGGCTTTACCCGACAATGAGCTGGAGGTACATAGTGGTAGTACTGAGGCTCCTGTCCAGTATGTCCTTCCTCTTTCTTCATCATCATCATCATCTTGAGTTTGCTGAGAGTAGAGGCTAGAGAGCCCCCATCATCTGACTGCTGTGTCTCCTCCATCCCAGCCATGCCACCTTTCTCTTCTCCTTCACATTCTTCAGCTCCTCCCTTTGGACTGTCTGTGCTGCAGCCTGATGTCTCCTCTTGTGCTACAGCTTTCTCTCCCTCCTGACTCTCCTCCTCCTCAATCGCCTCCTCACCGTGATCAGTGAACACAGCAGCTGCTGTCTCCAACTTTACTGGGGCTTTCTTGGCAAAAGAAAACGACACACTGACTTTGGATGCACCACTGGGAGTTGGAGATGAAGATTTGCTCTTTCTTAGAGAAAAAGTGATAGCAGGTCCATACTTGGGAGACGACTGGCCCGGTTTTTCTGCAGGCAGTCCCTCTAGGGTGGCGTCTGCCACAACAGGGTTCTCAATTACCATGTTGTCAACATCGTCTGGTTTCTCTCCATCAACAGCAACTGTGGTGGTTTTGAACATGGGTCCACTTCCAGGAGTCCTAAAACACACAAACATAAGACCACTGTGATGTGGAAAATGACACAAATGGAACAAATAAACAAGACACAGCAGCTTGTGTTATGGTAATAAAATAACCATAAAAGTTTAAATATTTCTCAAGAATAATTCGTTGCATAAATTCTTTTATAATTCCAGTGAAAACCAATTTAAACATGCTTGGTGGTGCATTCGAAGCAGCGGAAGTCCAGCCAGCAGGGGGCTCCGCAGGAACAGACTCTTACTGGTTTTGCTTGTCTTGTTTCCTCTGCTCAGCCAGCTCATGTAGTCGGCGCAGCATCTTTTCTTGCTTCTTTCCATCTTTGCGTGAACGGGACGACACGTTACGAGCAAACTCTCTCTGCTTCAACTCTTTGAGCCTCTGAGTAAAATTAGAGAAAAAAACGTCAAATTCACCGATGATGTCCTTCCCAATACATGGTGTCATGTGTGGATTACGCTCATGGTTTTCTGAAGCATTGACCAAGGAAATATGACTAAGTACGCTTTAACTTCTATCTCAGCACCGACTTCAATTATGGCAGCAACAGCAGTCGTATGACTAAAGACAAAAACGTTGTCATATCACTGATCAAGTGTTTAATATTACATTATCTGTGTGTGTGTGTGTGTGTGTGTGTGTGTGTGTGTGTGTGTGTGTGTGTGTGTGTGTGTGTGTGTGTGTGTGTGTGTGTGTGTGTTGCAGTACCTGCTTGTGAGCGTGGTCGTAAGAGTTAATGTGGTTGTCGAACTCCTGGTGTTTAGTATACTGCTTGTCACAAAGCTCACAGTAGAAATTTGCTCTTAGGTCTTCCAGAGCTTTAGCAATGGCTTTCTCCTTTTCCACCTGGTCCTAGTTTCGAAAAGAATAAAAAAAAACCCTCTAAATGAATCAATGTGTTTAAAGGCATTCAGAGAAGATAACTGGTTCTCCATCTATGCTTGTAATCATCCACTTTTACAAACGTTTACTTGAACACTTTCGGTAGTCCTTAAGAAGCTCACCTTGTATTTCTGTCGAAGTTCTTCTGTGTCTTCCTTTTCCACTTCGAGGACTCTCCTCTTCTCTGTGGCATCCTCTGCATAGTCCAGCTAAAACACAAACACCAGAGGTTAAGTAAACAAAACTGTGGTCAACAGGAGTTCTCTGCATTTTATGTAGCACTTAAAATAGAGACAGCCTCTTAATGTTTGGACTGATGACTGGACGAACTGGACAAGTCTGAACGGTGGAAGCTATTGAGACAGCAGATGTAAACTACCCAGAGTAGGACTGGTTAGTTTTGTGTTCTCTAATGTTACTTCTTATTTCTCCTGTTAGCAATAAAAACAAATCTGACAAAACAGTAAGCTACTATTGAACAAACATTTGCATTAAGTAGGGCTGCACAATATATCGAAAAATTATCGTCATCGCGATAACAGGACGTGCGATAGGCCCATCGCAAAACACGGCAAAAACAGCGATAAATGTTTGGTTCAAACATTTCCATCTGTGTCATACATCAACATTTTGTAAACCAGCTCTGTTTTTTACGCGGAAGTATTATTTGACCAATCAAATGTAGCCTTTCTGATATGCGGCCAATCAGATGGTCCCGTTCACGTAATACGCCCGCCCCCTACGTAGACCCTTTTGGAAAGCAACACCCGAACAGAGTTTGCGGCGCCGTTCCCTTGTTCATCATGCTGGCTCAGAGCAACGAACGCACTTTGTGCTGATGTTTCTGGATTCAGCGCTGCTTTCAAACGTGAACGTGAGTCCGCTCGGTGTCGTTAATCATTTTTACCGTGCTGACTCCGACACGTGCCGGTGAACCAACCCACCTTCATGTCGCTAGTGTTAGCCCCAGGCTCCGATTAGCTTCCAGCTAAAAGGCTACAGCACTCTCCTCCCAGTCCCACCCTGAGCTGCTAAAGAGGGCCTGGAAAAGTTCCCCCACACATCAAAGTGATTTTTCATTTATGAGCTTTTATAACCTTGTTAATCAGGATAGTTGATTTGCTGCTGCACATAAACTGTCAGTCAGAAGCTCTGCTAGCCGGTTATCTTAGAGGAGCTAGTTCAATTTGTTAGCTTGTTATCAGAATCATAGTTGCAGTTTCATCATCTGAGCTGCTTTTTAAGATCTAGGTAAACTTGTTCAATTTGGGGTTAAAAACTATCGTTTTCACATATTTTCCATGTAGTTTTTTTTTGCCAGTTCCTCTTCTGAAAGGTAGAAAATTGTTTTTCTCTTTCCCTCAGAAAATCTTAATATTCTCCTGGTTTGGCCCAGCACAGATCACTTCCCAGTTACAGCAACAGCCTTATATCATAACCACATAAGTGGAGAAAATGCTCAGTAGCAATGAGAGAATTTACTGTTGCATTTAAGTGATGTTAACTATTATTTAACATTTAAACTTACTTTCTGATTTTTTTTTTATTTACTCAAAAACCCTGGTAAGGGATGTTTTTCTGTATTTGGAGTATCAGAAAAAGTTTTATGGTGGAGGTGATGTTTTAAAGTCACTGAGAAACTGCATGCATGCAGTTTGTTGTTTTGCTGCTAATACAGTAGCAGCTGCAGCTGCATATGTTTGCAATAAAATGTTATGTTGTAATGGAATTCATGCATTAGTTTTTGTTTGCTTTGAACCCAGAGCAGACGTCACACGCCAGACGACATCAACACTGCATACTTTAGTATTTGGTTATTTATCGTGAGTAATATCGATATCGCAATATTAAGCACTGTTATCGAATATCGTAGGTTTTCCTAATATCGTGCAGCCCTAGCATTAAGTAAAACTTCTTAACTCTACGACCGCTCCTTTCAAATACAACATGAACAAAAGAGCATCCTACCTCCATTTCCATCCGGCCCATCCCCATGACATCATATTTAAGTATAATGGGCACAGGGTCTGTGCGTCCTGAGGGAGAAGGGACAGAAAAGACCAGGTCAGTTTCTGAGGCTGGGACAAAGGACTACGTCGAAGACAGCCTGCTTTTAGAGCATAAGGTGCTGGGGTTAGAGAATTTTGCCTTGAAGTGCAAAGAGACCAGAAAGCTACAGTGAACCAAACACCAGCCATTCTCACAGCTTACTGCAGCGAACTAACACATGTAGCCTTCCCGTTTCATCTCACAAAGCTGATGTTCTACATTACCAGCAGCTTCGTCTTATGTTGGTCTTTAAGATTACTCATCAATTTGTCTTCTTTATGTGTCCTTCTAAGAAAAAAGCCCTCAAACAAATATGCCACCCCTGTTTGTAAACAGCTGAAGTCCTGTTGAACAAGAATGCCAGGAATATCAAGCACGCTGCAGCACGGGGAAACATTTGTGCCATTGCTGCATTTTGTGTGGAAGTGGAGTTGCACCACCGCTACAACAGTATGCAATAGGGAGGGGGTGGTACGCCCAGTATTTTTTAGGGTAATTGGAGCCCCTCCCGTTGAGCTGTCTAACAAGCCCTTTTTACCACCTCATGGTCTAGGTGCATTTACTTGTGTGTTTCATCGTGTCTGCGGGTAAATGAGAGCTAACCTGTGTTACGTAAGCTGTGAAAAGAGCTAGGGCAGAAGGAAATTAACTGTAGAAAAATAAACAAACCAAAGGACAACCAAAAAACAGAACGAAACATTAAAGATATAAAACATATTAAAAAAAAATCAAAACTACTTCAGAGATTGAGACAAAATCGCTTAATCCACTTATAATCAGCCAAACAAAGCAGAGAAAAAGTAAATAAAAAAACAAGCACTGAACTACAGCAGAGTGACGTCACAGGCCAGGTGTCGCCATGGTGACAGTGCAAGGGATTGGGGATACTTACCTGGTAAAACATGGGTATGAGTAGGAAAAGGAAGAGGAAGACAGACAGACAGATAGACAGATAGACGGGGGATCTCAAAACAAAAGGCTTAAAAAGAATTTGGACTAGTCTGCTGCTCCTGGTGCTAGTCAATACAACCACCAATCTTACTGATAGGGATTATCAATTCAGTTTGGTTTCAGTTTTTTCCCCACTCCCATATAGAGGAGTTAAGTTTAGTTCCCCACAAATCTGCCATTGGGCTTCAGAGAAAACTACAGTTGTGATGATGTAAATGTACAACTAATGCATCAGGGTTCTTCTATTCCACCTACTTTCCTGTTCTTTCCTACTCAGTTTCAGATGTTTCAAAATGATTAGAGGTTTAATAAATAAACCACAAAAGATCAAAAGAAAGAACATTTATAGTAAAATGAGTCCTTTTCAAAATGGTCTAACATTTAAATGATGCCTTCCTGAACACGGGAAGGCATCATGCTGTTTCAATTTCTGTTCTATACCAAGAAAAAGAGTCATCGCAGCCCAATGACGTTTTCGTTGTGAAATCACTGATGCATGGGCATTGTAACATGTAAAAGCCTGCCTGGACATTCAGTCCCACTGCAGTGTCTTTCATTCAGACGAGCTTTAAACCCATCATTTCACTCCTATTGATTTTTGAAGGCTTAATCAATGGAGGAACTGAAAGTCAGGAACTACTGTGTGACACTGAAATCACAAAACTACTGACAGATGTGTGGATTCACACTCTTTCACAGAGAAGTGAACCAAAAAAAATATATACAGTTTTGCCTGCTAGCCAGCCACTGCAGTGGTCAGTCTGAATGGAGTCACAAGCAAGGCCAAGAATTAAAGATTCATGAACAATTACAGTCATCCCAAACTATCACCAATCTTTAAACACAGTGACAATACTTCCACATTACCCATTCCGGTGGAAAACAAAGGGACCAGACAAAAACAATGTGCGTCTAAATCACAAGGTGTGAATCACAAGGTTAAAAAACTGAAAACAAACAAAATGACAATGTTCTAAGAGTAATACAGATGCATGATAATATACAAGCAGCAGAATGAGGACTAAGACGGAGAGAATTGAAAGCCTATGTAGCATTGGTGCTCTGATGAGAGGAAAATGAAAATAATGGGAGAAATTAAAACAAACAATAAAAAATAATCAAATCAATTGGGGGATAAAATAACATTTACCACTAAGTTTACCATCAGCACAACATGGGCAGGATCAAATCGCTGTAAAAAAGAAACACCAATTGGTTAAGCAGGAAGATTGAGGCACATGGAGAAGGGAGGGTGGGGTTGGGAGTGTGGTTTAGGGGGTTCGGGCGTTCTTTACCAGAGGGGCTTCAGTGTGTCACCCCCCACCCCCACCCACCCCATTCCTTCATTCAGGGCTAGGTGCTTACAGGGATTTCCTCTCACCACTAGTCCAAACCGCTCGTCCAGGTCCCCAGGCCCCTACAGTGGTGTCATCATGCTTTCAGACAAGCACCCTTAACTCTAAGCCTTTCCACTACTGGACATCACAACCAGCAACTTTCACAGAGAGCCTCTGTTTTAACCATCTCCCTCAAAACATGTACAGCTTTATCAGATTTTTATTTTAGGGACTGGAGAATAACTGAGGGATATTTGTATAATCTGAATAAAAAATTTGTAAACACATAGTTATGTACATAGATTAAACTAAAATTCATAAACTTGACCATTTTGAATTTTTTTCTCTCTCTTAAAATAATAACTTTTTATCCAATTACAAAAGAAAAAGTGAGAACTACACAAACATTTGAAGTTTCTGATCTTTACCAGTGTAGTGGAAAGGCAGCTACATAACATCAAATGTGTAAATCTGAAAATATCTTTTGATATTCAGAATGTGGTGAAAAACTACAACTCCTTTAGGGACAGTACTCTGATGGGAGAAGCCGGGTAAATAAATAAACAAACAAACAAATCTTAACGTCAGATGAAATCTCTGATGTGCTTTGTACCATCACAAGTCTTTTTATTTTTGCTTTTTTAAAGTGTTAAAATATCTAGACTTATTCATTCTTCTAGGGATGACCACCATTTTCCCCCTATGAGCTTTTTGCCTTGCAGACGCTTGTAAGCCCAGTTAGCAGATCTCCTTGAGATGTTATTTCCTCACTAGCCTACAGCCAGCGAGCTCAGTTTGGGATGTGCTTAACCCCCACAACAGATGGACACATAAAACATAAGAACGTACCTGAGAGTAGAGCCAGCAAGGCTTTGAGCAGTGCTTAGAGAGGGTTCTGCATTGGTACAAAACAGCCGTTTTTAGGAAACCAAACTGTGGAGCCAATAGCAGGATTACATTTATTTAATACTATTAAAAGTGGTGGTTCAGTGTCCTAACTACAACACTGCTTAAAACCCCAGGTGGGTGACAGTTTGAGGCAGGCAGGAGTGCACCTCTGGGACAAACATGCTGTGCAGGAGGGGCAAAGAAAAAGGGGGAGGATGGAAGCCTGTAACCATGGGGACAGAGACATCCGCAGTGAAGAGGGGAGAGAGGATTTCCCTGTAAGTTGACTCTATGACCCGGTAAGTAGCAGACACACACACACACACACACACACACACACACACACACACACACACACACACACACACACACACACACACACACACACACACACACACACACACACACACATATTTCAGTCCCACATAATGACCACACACACACTTGAGTTTCACAGTTTTAGAGGTAGAGACAGGTAAACAAGCAGAGGGGAGAAACTTGTCTACACGGCAAGCCATTCAAAGTCTGAGCTGTGGTTACAGCCAATCAGATTACTCAACAGCAGCCACGAAAACTCAAAAGAGGAAAAAAAATTCTAAAGTACGTAGATGATTCTAGGGGATGTGATCGAATCATGGCTTCCTACATCTACCCTGATTAAAGATCATCTCAGTTCTTTGTATGAATCAAAACACGTTTCATTCTGAAGCAGATTGAAGTAAAAATTTAGTGATTATGAAGCAAAGAGGAGGAAGCTGACAGAGGCCATTAGCCTACGATTCACTGTAGAGAGGGATGTTACACTGAGGTCAACTGCAGAGTGGGAGAAAGAAAACACACCCACACATGCATACTGACATACAAAGGGGATCCAACAAACCTTACCTAAAAAGGGGCAAAAGGGACAAAAGAAGAATAAGAAAAAAGTCAATACAGTGGAAAAACTTAAAGAGGGGACAATGCTGTAAGTTCATATATCAACAGCTGTCTCTTGTGACAAAGACCACAGGAAAGGAGAGGAAGGGTAGCATGATTATCCAGCAGATGACACAACGATGTGATGACTTTGTGGGCCTATGCTTGGTTTGACCAGAGATGGCAGTCTCTGACACAGGCTAATGAATTCCTACACAAAACTGGACACAACTTGCTGCAGTCTCATCTGCCCACAATGTAGGATGCTTATATAACCACATGAATGGTGCCAGAGGCAAAAACAAGAGCATAGTGAGACACTGCATTGTGTTCTGTCCTCCATGCAAAGCTCATCCTTATCACGTCAAATAGATTGCTGCTGAGCTCTTCAAGGCCAGATGGAAATAAACATCCACGGATGATGAATACTAAGCTCTGAAATTTCTGCTGTGTTGTCCGTCTGCCCAGAATGAAGTCGTTTCCAGGTCTACTTCATTCTCTGGCTATGGCTGGGCTGAGAATACCTATGAGACAGCTCAAGGAGGCAAGGCCTTATAAGAACATGAGCAAAATATGGGAGGGCAACAGCAACACAGCTCAACAACCATCTAACTAAATGTGGGCTGTCTCTGGAAGATCAACCATCAGGCCTCACCCAACACTAATCCTTAGTAGTGGTGACTAAATAACCACTTAGTGCAGATGCTTGATATTAGCTCTTTTACTGATATCCAGTATACTGATACTGTCTGACTGACTCTTAATTTCCAAGACCAACATATGCAGGGTTCCCCCTCACACAAAAGAAAAACTAAAACATTTTAGGTTACTAACATCACATATGAAATTTCTTCTGTGCAAAATGACGATTACTTCAAATTAAGTTAATAACAGGAAAAGTACCATGTTTATTTTGTCTCCAACAGCAGCTGAATCTAATTCTCCCCAAGCATGATGCTAAGATGTGTGTAATAATCAGAAATGTATTCTTACTTTTTTCTGCATTTGCAGTTACATTCATAAAACATTCATAAAGATCTTCAGATAAGAAAATCTAGCCTTGGGTAGGGTTGGGCATCGTTTGATTTTGAACGATTCCAATTCCTCATTTCGATTACGGTTCCTATTGATTCCCGATTCCGATTCTTTAAAGACATGACATGTTTTACATGAGCCAGCTAACCACAGGCCCTACTTGATGAAATAATCTCAACTTGAACATGAATTTTAATTCTAGGAACAACAACATCACCTTCATGTAGACAAAAACATGTTTTGGAGAAAAAAAAAGAAAAAGACTTGCAGCACAACCAGTGTGTTTGTTTCTGACCACAACCAAAGTCTGGAAGAAGCCTCTGGGATGAGAGGCTAAATGTCTCCGACACATCCAGAAACGTCCAGCTGTTTTCAGCTAAAACTCTCAGGATGATCGTGTCCAGGATGACTGAGAACTACACCTCCATGCTGCAGCAGCATTCAGTCACAACAGGAAGTGAAACTTAAATGTAGCTGCTGTCAGTAACTATCTAACAGTTTTAAACATTAAAACTCTCAACAGAAATAGTTCAGAAAGGAAATTTAAAATTTCATAACTTTGTGTGTGACTTATTATTATTATTATAATTATTTATTGTGGCAGAAGCTGGTGTGGGGTCCACCGCAGAGAAAGCTTCTCTAGTATGATGACTTAAATTATTCTACAGGTTATTGTTCAGCCTTCTGACGCTCTCACACACACACACACACACACACACACACACACACACACACACACACACACACACACACACACACACACACACACACACACACACACACACACACACACACACACACACACACACACACACGAGTGCTGGTGAGCGGCTGCGTCTGACTGCTGACGCTCTGCGTGTTTTTATTTCTGCAGTGAGACAAACTCACCTCTCACCGTCCAGAGTTTGTTCTTTAAAGCTTCGATTAAATCCACCGTGTTGACGTATTTAACAAGTTTCTTCTACGCTGCAGGAGTTAAAGTTTACATTACGGAGTAAAAGTTTGTTTATATTTGGCCGCTGCACACCGGGTGGGGGGAGGGGGGACTCGGTGCTGCACACAGACAGCTGGTGTGATCAGCTCTGAAAAGCGTTGATCACAATTTGCAGATCACGTTTATTTTTCACGAAGATAAGCCGCGGATTCCTCTTCTGGTCGGCATTCTAGGAATTGAAACTAGGAATCGAAATTAAAAAAACTTTGAATGATTTCGGGAAAAACTAACAGTTGGTCCTGTTCCAATCGATGCTCAATGCCCAACCCTAGCCATGGGTGAAGATTCTTGTTTTTGTTTGAGTTGATTGTTAGCTGTTAGCTACATGTAGCTATGTGCTGTTAGGACAGCATACGTTCACTACACAGGGCAAATTTCTAATTCACATGTTGTGCACGAGTTGCAGTTTTGCAACTAACAGGAGAACAGTGCAGCATATCACTGAAATGTTTTAAAAGGATAAAACAGGACATGGTAAAGCAGATAGACAACACTAAAGGTCAAAAGTTTCATAGAAAAAAGGTTCACTCGACACCCTGCCAATACCAGTCTGTCGACCAAGAGCACGTTAGTAGACAACGCTTTGCAGCACGTTTGCTGGGCAGTGCCAAGTTAAGAGTTTTAAACAAAGTTTTAAAAAGCCAGGAAAAAAGGGGAGACAGAGAAAGCAAATAAAGAGTCAGAAAAGTGAAATGTTTAAAAGCTCTGCACTACATCCTCTGAGCTTATGAGCACAGCAGGTCTGCGCTAATGAGGTGCTAACGTCAGCCAGGACCAACCCACACATAAAGCCATGTTCAGCCTTCTTTCTCCAAGAGTCAGAATAACCGGGCAAAATGCCTCAGAGAAACTCTACTCCTTCACTGGAGGCTTATTAAATACATATTTTATAGAATTCATAGAACATGCAAAGCTTTAATTACACTGCTCTGTAGCATTCTGCTTCTGACATGCTGACGAGGCACCAGTGAAACTGTAATATGTGCTGTTGAAGGTCTAATAGCTTGCAGGCCCACAAAACGTTCATAGGTTATCAGTTAGATCTCTGACATGGTGTCCATGCTACATGAAGTAGATCCCAACTGTGGTTGTTTGACCATTGCACAAAGGAAACAACCAAAAGCAACATTTAGACTGTGTAACAAAGACACAAACCCAAACATGTACCCTGGCAAAATGTGGATTCAACTAAAAGTCAAATAAACACGAAAAGAGGGCAAATCAAAGTGGCATATTAGAAAATAATCAGTTGATAAAGCTGGATGTCATAAGTCAGCTTTAATCTGATATTATGGAAACTAAATGCATCAGGAGGACACAAATAACATCATCTGCAACCATCAGGGTGTTGTCCATCAGTCTCACCACTACAAGACTCCAGGAGACTTTTTTACACTTCCAAGAGAAACGCAGCACAACAAGAACCTGAATGATGTTTGTTTGAACCATAAACCTTTAGTGTACAGCAACAGAAATAAGAGATGGTCAGAGGAAGGATGTGAAGAGAAATAAAATTCAGCAAGTGGAAAATGTAAACAAATACCTGAAAATGTCAGGGAGAAAATAAATGAAAGGAAGCGGTGGCTCAGCACCACCGGCATATGTGATCATGTTTACGAGTGCATCCTCACCCTGCATGGTTTTGCCAAGGCCTTGTCCTGATTTCCAGCCATGTTTCTGAAGCAGCCGGTGCCCAATGTTATCCTAGCAGAGAGAACAGAGGAGAAAAACCAAAAATATTCCAATAATAAGAAGAGCTATTCCCTGTGGGCTCGAGTAAAAAAGAAAAACAACAAACAGACAAAACACTCAAATCACACTATCATCATAAGCACAACCACCACCACCATCACCATTGTCTTTATTGTCATCACCTACAAAGTGTAACAATCAGTGTCTTCCAGCACAAAGTGTGTTAGGGCAGTTTGGGAGAGGAATTAGAATCGGGAGACTTGAGATGTAGGGTAGGATTTCAGGTTTTTAAATCAATACAAAAGGCTATTTGACACCTGTAGACTACAAGATGTTTTGATGCATCATGAGTGCAATTAAAAAAAGAGTTTTCAGGCAAAAATTGGGCATGAGCATTTCTATTATTCATAGTTAAGATAACACATCAAGTAACATCTACTAACTGAGATGTTAAAAGGAGGAAGGAGAGGGCAATATATGTATCACACACATACATATATGATCCACTACAGAGTAAGAACTTAGTACACAAAGAAAAGTTAAACGAAACAGGTATGGAAATCTAGCAATACCAAAATGAAGACCAGAAACTCCAAGCTTGCTGTGATTCCGTCACCATGACAAAGGGAGCACCATGAAACATATACAGCGGTCACAAAAAGAGCAAGAGGAAGAGACAGAAGTGGAGCTAAAGGGCCTTGGATTACCATTACAAGGCCCAGGGTAGACAGACTATGGATATGTGAAGGGGTATGTGGGTGTGCAGGTGGAGAGAGAGAGACAGTGTGCTTGTAGCCCTGTTACCAAAAGTGACTGTTGTAGATGTTTTTGGACACCTTCAACCTTTTCTGTCTATTAACTGTCATGTTGTAACCATGATCAAGATTTCAAATATATTTTTCTTTTCAACCAATTTTCACTGATTGCACTATTGTCATATCACTTTTAAAAAATGATCACTAGTATTTAGAGACTAGAAAACACACCTTTCAGACTAGGACCCCTCATACGATCAGCAAAAAGAACGATTTCAGACATCCATCTAAATTCTTCTTCTTTTTCCTATCATTACCAATGCTTCCTATAGAAAACTGAGTCCAAGAATGTGGACAAGCTCTTTAAGGCATATAAAAACATACACAACAGTATTTGCTAGCGCAACATATGGCCAAATGTGCAAGTTGAATATTGTTAAAATTGCTAGCATGAGTCAGCCATATTAAAACATTGACTTGAAATGCAAAACCGTCCCACCACTACACACTAGTACATCCTCAAGCACAAATAAACAGGAAACAATGAGATTTCTTTGTAAGCAGTGTTTTGTGTTGTGATTATAACTATTCCAAGCTTGTCTAACATTCACCAATGTGCTGCATTCTACCAAAAACCATACAAACCAAACAAAAAAGGATATTTATAATCACAAAGAGACTGACATCAACTTTCACAAACAGTAAGTGAAGGGGAAGGAATAAAAATAAAAAAACAGCATGCAGCTTTTTGTTAAAGTGTTTTAACAAAAAGGGTCGTCGGAGTTAGTAGCGCATTGTGAGTGGGACACATTCAGAGGGGTGGGCTGAAGGTGGAGGGCAGGTTAACAAAACTCCAGCGGTTAGTCTCAGGTGGATCAGCCACAGAGAGAAAGGTGATGGCTCAACAAGGCTCAATTAGATCTCTTTGACAGGAGGTCAGAAAAATAAATAAATAACAGAAACGGACAAAACAAGAGCAGGCTGAGCCATGATGAGGGTGCATTTTAAGGTGATAGAGGAGAGCTGGGTTTGTAATGGAGGTAGTCTCAAACACAAAGCACACACTGCATCTCCACCCCAACACTGCAACTGAAATAAGCTGGATTTACTTTTTGGTTGTTTGTTTCAGAGCAAACTGATGCCTTCCTTTGCTCTTTTCATACATTTCTAGATTAAAAAAAATAAATCGTCTAAACTGTGGAATGGTCATTTACTATGAAGCTGGTATGGTTGGGCAATAAATCAAAAAGATATCGTTTTCAAAATTTCTGACTTTTATCGAGATGATTTTTCCCATGTCCACAAATTTGATAATAAAAAATGAAAAAATGTTTGTAGGTTGGTGACATTCATGCCCCTTTAAGAAGCTGTTCCACCTTGACTCACATAAAAATGTGACTCAATGTAATACACGTGACAGCCCCATCTGGTGTTTCTGCGCATACCTGTGGTTATCGTCTATTTATTGTTATCGAGTTAAAATCCTTAATATATTGTGATACAGATTTTAAGCCACATCACCCAGACCTAGAAGCTGGTGAGAAAAATATGACCCAGTACACAATGACTCTGATATTTTGGTAAATACTTACTGCTGCCCTCACACTCATCATCTGCAAACATAACTGTGGTTTTACCAACATAAATTGAGATTTTTGCTAATGTTTTTAAAGAAGTGATAATTCAAAACTCAGTTTTTAGTGTTTACTTGCAATCTGGAGTATTTGAGAATTGATAATGTTGCCGTCGTTTTTGCACATCCAGTATTACTTTATATCTTGGAAACACAACAATTGAGCTGTTTTTACAGGGTTTGTTTTCCTCACAGCTGTCTCTTTACGCTTCTCCTGTCCCTATTAAACTACAATTGTGTCCTGAAAAGGTTAATAACTGAGAGGCAAACATCATGACTGGTTACTCTTGAGGGATGGTAAAGTCATGGAGCTTGTTTTTCTCAAGAGTTTGGGCAATTTGTCCCTTCATTAACCTGGTTATGATATATGTAGAGTCTGACAATTGGATTAGTTTCCTGTGAAAGACAAAAGATCCGTTTGTGCCGTCCCTCACATGGTAGAGAGACAACATAAAGCCCGACTCAGCTCATAAATTTGAAGCCTAAAGGTACAATTGTGGTCATGATTTGGAATGAGCTGCTTTGCAGTTTCTGGTATGCCCCTGACGTACGTCTGCACTGCAGACACTCGCTACTGCTCATGATACAATGCTTCCTTTTGTACAACCGTATGGAGCAACCACTATGTAGAAGTCAGCATTTGTCAATTTGCTAAAATTGTGCAGCTTTAAGAAAAAAAACAATCCACCTATATTTATCTGCTAATAACATGGTTATTCAGCTTTTCCTAACTGATTCATTTTGCATCACCAATGTTTGAAAAATCCTGCAAAAGACCAAATAATTACACATAACCATTTGAAATTCCAACCTTAATTCAAATGTGTTTCAGCTAATTTTTTAGGGCTGTAGAACAAGTAGAGCAGGTCGGATGAGGCAACAGTTTGCAGCTCTTGAAAGTAAACAGATGGGGTCAAAATGGGCTCAGCAGAGGTTGGAGACCAGAGATGAGGTGCAGACTGAATGTTAGACTACAGATGAGTGCACCAAAAGAATAGACAGACAGATGAAAGCAACGACGGCGAGTCCAACAGCAGTGCAAGTGGAGTGAAGGCATTTCCATACGAACCTGGCTTTAAAATACTGGGCTGTCAAAAAAACAGTCACACGTAACACAACGTAAGAAACCGGCCAAACGCTTCAACTGCAATTCTGCTAAGATTCCCTAGTTCTTGCAAATACAAATTTCTCTCTGCCTTTAAACAAACACTGTACACAAACAAAAAGGCAGACATTTTAATAAATCCACCAACTGACTGTTAATACAGGAAAAAAGAAAATAAAATATTCGAAAACAACATCAAAGCAAAATATGGGGTGTTTTTAAAAGTGTGCAATGTGTCATTGGCACATTGCATGGAAAAATATATGAATAAGGGAAGTGATATGCAGGGGACCACACCTGGAAGCCTCAGAATTGAGTCTGGTTTTAGTCTGGACATTAATGGGGAAAAAACAACCAATAAGTGCATCATTAATCTATAAATATAAGAACTTGCCATGCCTCAAGGAACTATGGAGATAGGTGTGTTAGTATGATTGTATAAGTCTAAGCAGACAAAGACACATTTGTCTTTTTCAGTATCAATTCACGCATTTCGGGTGTTTTTAACCAAGAGTGACAAAGACTCTATGGTAAATCTGTCTCATGGGAAAATAAGTGTCAGTTGCCAGGCTTAGCCCACTGTTATTTCTCTGAAGTTTAATGTTTTCCTTGAATTTGGGGTTCTGTAATTTCTTGTTCAGTGGTATGAGACTAAAAGGAAACTTCTAGATAGGGGTGACGGTGGCACAGGAGTTAAGTGCTCGCCCCGTAATCGGAAGGTTGCAGGTTCGAGCCCCGCTCAGTCTGTCTCTGTTGTTGTGTCCTTGGGCAAGACACTTAACCCACGTTTCCTGCTGGTGGTGGTCGGAGGGACCGGTGGCGCCAGTGCTCGGTAGCCTCGCCTCTGTCAGTGCGCCCCAGGGAAGCTGTGGCTACATCGTAGCTCATCCCCACCAGTGTGTGAATGTGTGTGTGAATGGGTGAATGACTGATTGTGTTGTAAAGCGCCTTGAGGGGTTCCAGGACTCTAGAAGGTGCTATATCAAATACAGGCCATTTACCATTCTGTTGAGGTCCACTTAAAGGCAATCGAGTTAAACAGAAGTGAGTAAACAGAAATACGTACATGCTAGACTTAGTCTCAAATGATCAAAGACTGCATTATTTATGTGAAAGTTAGAGAAAATTCAATTGGTTTGATTAAATAATCCAGTTATAACAAAAATAAAACATAAATACTTACCCCATATCTCAGGAGCCACATTGTAAAAGGTAAATGTGTCAAATTATAGAAATGTCCAAAGTATTTTATTCACTAGGGGTTGCAAACGGAGCTTGGTGCAAGGACATGAACCAATTGTCTCTTCAACTCAACTGGATTAAAGCTGGTGCATAATGTAAGGCCTGTGGTGATCTAACATAAGGGGTCAGCCGGTAATATACTGTTGTTCACATTCACTAGTGGAAAACTGACTTATAAAAGGGTTAGTTAAGTGAAAACAATAGCTACATCACAATACTTCATATTTAGGAATCAGCTGATTTTTGTACAACTTGTCAGTCTGCAGTTAACGTAACTGGTAACATTAAAAAACATTTTTCCTTCTGTGTGGGTTCTGTGGCTCTGAGGTTGCCCACTGCATATCGCTGTGGTACTGGGTCGACTAAGGGAAGGGTAACAGCTTTAAGGGATTGGTAAGGGCAAGTGATGACGAGAATGAGTACGAGGAGAAAAAATTAAATAAAAGTCGTAATGATTAAGACAGAGTGTTGAGAGAACAAATTACTTAATGCTACCAAGTTAAACACATGCAATACAAAAACAGTGTTAAAAGGAAAACAGCAAAGACCAAAGGGGAAACGGGAAGAGAAAGGAGATCCCAATAAAGTACCACAGACCTCTAGCTGCCTATGAATCACACACAGTAAATGGCAATGGAGGGGCTCTGAGAAGCTGGGCAGAAGCATTTATTAACAACTCTGAGACAATTACAACAAACACTCCCACTATAGAGGTCTGCAATGTATACAGACCCTTTAATGAAGTGTCGGTGTAACTGTATAAGAAATCGTTCCTAATAGTCCATAATGAGGCTAATATTAAAGTTCTCATTTTTAATGTGATCTTAAAGTCACCAATGTTTTTAGTTGGATTAGGCGTTATATTTATTTTCTGTTACTTCTGTTTTTGAACCATAAGCCTCTTAGAATATCCAGAAGTGACGAAAAGTCAAATATTCAAATTAATCGGACGATATTTTCAAATCTAACTGATTTTTTTTTCATTCCCAAACCAAAAGGCCTTTCAAGAGCCTAAATATTGCAATGTTGAAAGTTGACAGCACATCTGTCAGAGAAGATGTGAAGAGCTGTGTGATGCTGCAGCATGGCCCTCAGGCCCCTCCACAAATAATAGCGCAGGAGCAAAAGAGCCACTCAAGCCAGGTGAGCAGGCCACCTCTCTTTTTTATTGTTTTCATTTTTCCTCTTCTCAACCCTACAGGAAGATTTGTCAGACTTTACCGTGACTCTTTTAAATCTATAGTATACTTTAGGATATTTAGGTCATGAATCCACTGCAGTAAAAAAGGAAACCGTTAGGTTTTCATCTGTAAGAATGAACTCTTGCTCATATTTACTTACAACTCTTGTTCGTGGCCTTTAACTCTTTTTATCTAATCAATCCATGTAAACTTTGTCACTCATGTCCACTAAAAAAATCATATAAATTATGTCTCACCATACAAGCTTAATCTGAAATCTCTGAATTTATCAATTAGCTGATACTATGAAGTTTTAAGTTAAGCGCGAATGAACATTTTACTTATTGTCTGTTATGAAAAGGTCAAAACACACAATGATAGTTTTGAGAGCATCTTTCTTGAAGCTTGTGAGAAAAAAATGAGTCTGGGCCTGCTTACCACAATGCTTCAGAGACAGAAAGGGGATGAAAAAAGTGAGAAAGACAGAAAAAGACAGCTGTCTGCGCTATTATGGATGTGCCTCTTCAGCAGAAAATGCAGTCCCAGTTGCACAAGCACCATGCCAGCACAAAATGACAGAGGGTACTGTACACCGAATCACTGTGTAGTAGGGAGGGAGCCAGAGAAAAACAGAGATAGGAAGAGAGTCAAGTGTGATAGGTGTGAAACAGAAAGAGAAAGGTAGAGAGAAAAATATAGAAGCGTTACAAGGACCCTAAAAATAGGAGTAAGGAAGCAGAGCGTGCAAATACAAACCGGGTCATTGCTGCTTAGCTAATAGGGGGCCAATTCGCTGCAGGAGAGAAATGTCGAACACCCCAAGTTGTGTACAATAAGATAACTGTCCTATAGATATAAACACTGTAGACTAACACATCAATTCTATAGCTATACACATTCACTCAAACACAAATTTAACCTCTCACACCATCTAAATTTCACATTCTTGTTTATCAAAACAGGGTGGACTAAGCACTGCCTTCCTTCACGTAATAATGGATATTTTTTATTTGCAAAGAATAAACAAAATTTTCAGATATACATCTTTAGCCAATTTTATCACTGTTATGCATAATTTGTTAACATTATTTGTATTGAAGAGGGGCTTAATTTATGGAGATCAATCTATAAAGAATTTGTGAAAAATGCATGGATCATTAATAAAGATTTATCAGTCAACCCCCTCAGTGGAAAACCACTCACTTTGTGTCCAGAACCTGAACTGGCCCTCGCTAAGGTTACATTTATTCTCATCAATGAATCTAAAGTTGCTGAGCAGCTGCAGAATTAAGCTAACAACGACATTGCTTCATCCACCCCACGCTTACAGAATTCTCTTTATACTGAGATGACTAATGTGAAACTACCACAAATGGAACATTTTTTTTTTATCTGTAAGCTCTAAAAAAAACAGGAAGATCTAGGATATAAATCATTTAAAAAGTCAGACAGCAGATGGAGTAGGTAGAGGACATGGGAAGTGGAAGGGATTTCAGGGGTATTAATGGATTTGACAAGTGATTCTACAGGTTACGTGGCAAGTGTGTTCAAGATAACGCTGAATGCTTCTACATGGACAGTATGGAGTTAAAAAAAACATGGCTGTTATTTATTCCTGGACCAATCATATCCACTCTCACAGCTGGTCCAATGGTGTGGGATGACGGATGCAACCTTACCGATTCGATGGGCTTGTCCAGGGACGCCTGTTCCAGCTCCAACTGGCCCTCTTCATACTGGTCAAAGTGATTTCCACCCTGAGAAGCAGACGCAACGACTTTATTCTTAAAAAACAACTTGAGTTGTTTCAAAAGATCAGTAGTTGCTTTAGGTATAACAGAAAATGACATCAACGATTTATGTGAAAGCACTGAGACCCACGGTCTGACACTGAGAAAAAGTACATTTCTATTGTGGTTAGGGATGTCCTGCTCCATTATTGATATCAAAAGTAATTCGATATCGGCCCAAAAACACTGTATCGGATTATATCGGACTGCATCAAAAATGTCCGATATAAGCAGTCCATTAAGGCTCACATTTTTGCCACCAATGGCTACAATTGTCTTTTTGTTTCATACTTACTGTTATTGGCTCCTTCTCGGATTGAGTAATATTCCTTGACCAAGCCTTTCATACATTCCACACTACAAAATAGGTAAAAGATTTGTGCCGATATCGCATCAGATTGACATTGGGATCGGTCAATACTGAAGGCTGCAATATCTGTATCGTATCGGAAGTGAAAAAGTTGCATCGGGACATGCCTAGTTGTGGTTAAAAGATTTAGATATGTAGTCCTACAACGTAAGGCAGTAGGGCTGAACGACATATCGTTTTTGGACCGAAATTGTGATTTCAAACAACACAATCATGTGCCTGTTCTATTTTTCTCTGAAATGAGACCAAATCAGTGGTTCTATGGGTTGTCTCCACTCTGCACTAGAAATTTTTATTTTGTTTAGAGACGTGTCATAATCCCCCCCCAATGGGGGACTCGGTCAATGGTAGCTTTAGTGGCATAAAAACGTTTGGCATTCACAGCACTATACTGTTATTTTGGTGTTTAATGCAAACTGATTTGTTGATATTTCAACATGAATCTGGCAGACCTACAGTGGGTTCATGCCTCTGTATGTGGATTGTTTTTGAATCATTCTGTAATCGGCAATATTTTAGCTAGATATGGATGCAAAAGAACACTGTGTCATATCTCGACCTTAAAAAGCTTTAGATTTTTGGAATGACTGACTAATAGGGCTGGGGGTAAACGATTATTTTTAAAACGATTATTCTGACGATTATTTTATCGAATTGTCGACTATTCTAATGACTATTTAGAAAATTAATCTAATGATTATTTTTCTATTGCACAATTAACAAAAACCAGAAAATCTCAAATAAATTTCTCAAAAAAATTGATAAATTCTTACTGTAAGAGAATAAACACTACAGGCCTTCCATTTTGTATAACACTGCTTTTATTGTGTTGCGGTTGGTTATGTTCTGGTGACGTGTAGAACTTGGGAGTGCAGGCTGCTGCCTGAGAGGTGGTAGAAGATGGGAGTGTCTCCATGCTGCTTTGTTTTGGTCACTTATGTGCGTGAGGCGAGTGGTCTTACGGGTTAAACCAAACTCAAGGTGATATTTTAAACTAAACCGAAAACCCACAACACTCTAAATGTAATAAAAGGGAGATCTACACCACAAAAAAGATTAACTCTAAACCAAAACGTAACAGCTTATCCCAACGCAAAAAGCTGTTAGCGAAGATGCTAACAGTAGCTTTACCAACATTAAGTTCAAGTTACCAAGTTTAAATAAACCAAAAACACCCAGCAGCAAACAGACCAGCACGGAGGAGAGACTGCTACCACCAAAACAGCTCTCCTCATGTCTGAAAGAAGCTCCTTAATGAAGGGAGAAGCGCTCCCGGTGATTTTCTACATCTGCGATAGACACGAAGCAGCGCATCTGACCCCGGAAGTTGTTGTCCGTTGCCGGGAGACGAAGGGGCAAAACAGGAAAATAATCTAGTAGTGGACGGACGTTGTTCCGGGTCTTCGGTATTTGGCGGAGATGTTAGTAAAGGCGGAGAAGAGGGCGAACTACAGGAAAAACAGGCAGATTCCTCCTCTATTTACAAACTCCTGGGGATGCAACAAGTGGGCGCGGTGCGTCGACTTCCGGATCTGACGTCGACAAATTTTTAGAATCGAGCCGTCGACTTCGTCGAGGCTTCGCTACAGCCCTACTGACTAATGTGTTTACTTTGCTGTCAAATGCCCAAAGATGGCTTTTGTTGAGTGGGGGAGCTACAAAAAACTGAACTGAATTCTACTCTGAACTAGTCTTGGGTGCTATACCGGTTCATACTAAAAACCAGTATTTATTTTGGTGATGATATGAATTTTTCACATACCGCTATACCGGTGAATGGCCCAGACAACGTACAGAACGTTCGTAGTAGGAAAGTGTTTCAGCGGGAACTCATTTCACTGCTACACACAAACACCACAGCATGGTGAAACCAAGAATGGCGGCTGGTGGGAGCTGTCAAGGCGACATCAAAACTTTGAACGCAGAAGAATTTATTCCAAAAAGAGGAGCCACGTCTGTTGTTTGGAGGTTTTTTGGGTTTAAAAGTTCGGACGTGGAGCAAATGACTTTTATATGCTAATGCTGTCGAGCAACGGTGGTAGCTGGCGGGGGTAATACCAGCAACTTGCTTCATCACCTCAGCCGAAAACACGCCTTGGATTACCAAGAATGTCTCAAGCTTCGATCTGCAGCCTCCACCTCCAAGGCTAAAACGGCTAGTAGCAGTCAGAGTCAGACGTCCATTAAAGACGCGTTCGCTAATGGGACTGTATATAAAAAAAAAGCAAGCGGTGGGTCGAGATAACCAAAGCAATAACGTAGGATGTGAAATCATAAAGATGGTTAACTGCACAGATTATATGCAAAATGTGTTCAATAAAAATGGTTTATTTTGACTGTAATGTTTTATCTTTCTAGTTGTTTTCTCTTAACTGCTTTCTTTTGACAAGGATACTTTGAGGGGGTTTCTGCATTTACCTACCTGTGACCGGACATGGAAAAACTGGTATTCTGCACATGAAGGTAAAACGGACTATTTAAGGCCTATCTAGTGCAGTAATTATTTTCTTATGAAAATAATCTGAGTAATCACGGCCTTGTGAAAAATACAGTAAAACCGATATAATTTTAAAAAATACCGTGATATGACATTTTTGCCATACCGCCCAGGCATACTCTGAACCATTAATATAAGAATAATTTCACTACTTTGAAAACTAAGATCATCAACTGATTATATGTGTATCTCTCATCAAAAGTTGGCTATTACCATGTCTCAAAAGGAACTGGATGGTCTTAAGGGGAAAAAAGATGATTCTACAAAAACTCTGAAACAAAGGAGAGGCTGACGACGAGCTCCTTTGTTTTAATTCTTCCTTCCCTGTGTTATCATGACAACAGGCTCATGCTCATTCTCTAGTACCTCACAGGCACATGAGAAACACACTCTCCAAATCTCAGTCCCTCGTGGTGATTCATAAATATACGTGGGCATATTTACAAGTAGCCGTGGTGTGCTTTGTTAAAGTCACAGTGTCTCCATAAATGATTGCACGGTGTGAGTGAATGGTCACAGTTAGTAGTTCTGAGAATAGTCTTTAAACATGGCTGAACAGAAGACACTTAAGTTTTTTTTTAATTAATGACAGAAAATCCACATGACAGGGCTGACCTGTTTTGTTTTCTTGATAAATTTATCTCAGCTGACATTAAATGATGAGGGGGGTTTGTACACAGCAGCACTGTGCAAAGGTTTCAGGCAGGAGTGAAAATGCTGTAAACAAAGAATGCTTCCAGAAATATAAACAGTGATAGATGTATTTTCATAAATGTCTTTTTTTTTATGCCAAGTGAGTGACCCAGCCAGAAAGTGAGTAATTGAGTTCCCATTCCAGCTATCACAGAGTTTCTGCTGAGATGGAGGTCTTCCTCTTGTTAGCAGTAAGAGATGAAGGTCAAGTTTGTGCAACTTTTTACGCTTCCTGGGCTTAGCAAAAGCAAATAACTGAGTCAAAAATGTGTGAGTGTTTACAAGTCACTTGGCTCAAACAAAACAAAATGAATGAAAATGTCCGAAGGGCTGTAATGTAAATGTGATGCAAATACAGATAAAATACAGGAACTTTAATGTCTTCCTTTCCAAAACTACTTAATTTATGGTATATTGCCACAAGACGTTTACACTGAAATCACTCAATCAGCAGCTTCCTGCATTAATTTAGAAATGGTCAAATTACTTTCATAAAAATCAATGAAGTAAATTCTTCTGCAAAAAAGACAATCTAGATGTGGCGACCATCGCAAGTCAAAATAGGTGAGTTCATGCATGCTTCATGTAGATTTTTAGTCTATTCTATAACAGAAGCTAATGCAGGAGACAGGTGTACGACAATTTTCACGTTCAGCCTGCATGTTAAACTCAGAATGATCGATCAGTTTCAAAAACAATAAGTTAAAAAAGGTTTCTCAGTGAAGAAGGAACTATTAAAAAATATTTCTCATTAATTTGATTTCAACATAGCTTCTACTGCAAAGCTGCAATGGAAATGACTTTAGTTCTGTTCTCATGATAATTACAAGAGCAAAAAGCTAATTAGGGAATGCTCTGCACCACCCAACGTTCTCTGCAGGTGCTTAAACTGCTTAGGGTTTGTCTCGATCTAAAGACTTTTTGCAATTAGTGCTAAAGCTCTAAGAACAATTAAAATCAATACAGCAAACAAAGCTGCTGGGCAGCTGGCTGTGCAGTAACCATCAGATAATACGTGGGTACAAACTTAAAACTGTGGAGTCAGAGAGAAACAGAATCCTGGGCATATGAATGTCCACCCCAGATCTCTCACACACAGGGCTTCACTGTGCTGGGCCAGAGCTGCCTGAACAGACAAGACTCCTTCAGACCACACACAGCGATCTGCCTCTCACTGACAGAATAGTTGGAGAACACAATGTGAAAATGTCTCACTTTAATACAAGTTACAATGAGTTTTACTGCATATTGTTGTTATATCTTGTAGATTTTGTAATCATTAGTAAAATTAATCCATGGATGACATTTTTAAAAATCTAACACACAAACCCCCTATACCATAAAAGTAACCCAAGAAGGGCTTTCCTGTTCCGGTTCATTACAAAATACCGTATTGACCTGAATACAAGACGAGTTTTTTTTTCATTGAAAATAATTTTATAATGTTGGGTCATCTTATGATCGGGGTCTAACTATTACACGTCTTTAACTTCAGTAGGGCCAGCCTGTATGTTCTCAATAGGAGAAAAAAAATGGAGACGAGAGGTCCAGAGCAGAGTGGACCGAAAGTGGGGCAAGTTAACTCATTAACTGCCAGCCGTTTCCTGATCAGAAAAGCCCTTCGCTGCCAGCGTTTTCACAGTTTTCCTAAGAGCCACCAAACATTGCGCTCTATGATGATGTCAATGCCAAAACTACCAAAACAAAGAGGAGACTCACCTCTTACATCAGGAAGAATCTGCGTGTTTCAAGCATTTTCCGTTCTTTCATAATCTGTTGTCAAATTGTGATCAGCAGAAACTTTTCCGGATTGAGCCTCACTTTTTTGCAGCAGTGGCCCAAAACGATCTCCTAACACATGGATTTTCTGCTTCCTGATCACGTGACGTGTGACGTACGTGGATGAAGATTGGCTTTAGAGCTGGGATGTTTGTTCACATGGTACTGGGGCTCGTTCCGACGCCCACACTAGGGTTGTCACGGTAACCGGTATAGCGGTAAACCCTGGTAAAAAAGTTGACAATAAAAATAACCGTCCAGTTTTTAAAAAACTAAATTATCTCGGTGGGTTTACCGTGGCCGCGGTTTCTGCGCGGTGACCCTTACCAGCCACCGTCGCTTCAGCTGAAGTTCCTGCGGCGTGCACACGCACTTTTTAGTTTGCAACGGCACCAAAACTTTGAAGCTGAAATAATGGCCGAAGGAGGAAACGGCAGCGCCCAGGACATCCATCAGCCCTCAAAGAAGACTAAATCGGAAGTATGGGCATATTTTGGATTTCTGAAAAATGCTGAGGGACAGTTAATAGAAGACTGCTATCCCGTTTGCAGAACGTGCAGGAAACAAGTGTCTGCAAAAGGCAGCAACACTTCGAATCTAATGGCACATCTGAGTGACCATCACCCGCGTCTCTACAGCCAGTGCAAGGTAAGTTAACATTAGCATTTTAGCTTAAATGCATGACGTGAGGACTTTTGGTTGAGGGAGAATGCAACGAGTCACTATATCCTGCATCCGCAGCGCCCTCTGCTAGCATTTAAACTGTGTCACGGACACCCTGTTGCTGGATGAAGCATCTTATTTGTTGATGATGAAGAGAAATATACAATTAGTTCCTTGTCATTGATTTGTTTACTTACTCAATGCCATTTATACTTGAACATTTGGATTTGATTACATAGTGTAGTAGTTATTTTAGTAATTTGTTTAAAGTGGCTATTTATTTTAAATACATATTTTTTAAGGTTGACTTGTACAGCGCTCAAGTCAAGTGTGGACTGGAGTTTTAGATTTTCATTTTGATAATGAAGAAAACAAGTATATGAGAAAACAAGTGGTGTTTCTTTGATTTGTTTACATATTGTTTATGTTTCGAATGTTTGGATTCGTATCATTTAAACCTGCACTGACTACTGTAACATGTTCCAGAAAAAGAAGCTATTTGTTCCTTTACTTGTGAAAAGTTGCACTTTTGCTAAGGCTTTGTGTTATTTTAGGTTTAATAAACACTGTTAATCCTTTTCAAAACTATTTCAGTTTGTGTAGAACAGGACTATCAATGCTTTCTGAACATATGCAACACCGTTTAAAAAATACCGCGATAATACCGAAAACCGTGATAATTTTGGTCACAATAACCATGAGGTTAAATTTTCATACCGTGACAATCCTAGCCCACACAGCAAAAAAATGTAAATCACGACTTTTGTCGTCAATGGCAGTTAACATACTAAGGCAGAGTTATGCAAATTTTAAGATGACGGTGGTCAATTCAGCAGATACGTCAATCACTGCAAGCATGGATGCATTGGTAGTGAAGATGATGTTCTGGGAGGATTCGGCAGGTGTAGCGATCTGATGGTACACCCCGCAGCAGCATGAGTTAAGCCTGATTTATGCTTCTCCGTCTGTGTCAGTACGGAGTCATGCAACGCCATTATCCGTCCTTGCGTAAGGCACGCAAGTACGTACGGAGTCGAGCCCACTTTTTTAAACATCCGTCGAACGAGACGGATTACGCAAGCTTGTGATTGGTCAGGACGCCGCTGTTGTTTACAGCGCCGCCATTGCAAAGAGAGCCGAGGATAACTAGCGGCAGACACGGAGAAGCTTGAAGAATACCTCGCGAAAAAACTCTAAAAACATGAACGTTTAATTCTCCCGTGACTGGAGGAGTGAAAAGATGCGCAGCAAGCATTTTATTTGTGGACGGAAATGACAGGAAACGTGGGTTTAGAGGTGGGGAGCGCATGAAGCGGTGGGAGATGGAGAGACAAATATGTCCGTGTTAAAAGTCTCTTATATACACAAAAAACACAATATAATCACACGATCTTGGACCGATACATGACAGGATACCACAGAACAGCGCTACGCCCTCTGTGGTCCTGCCGGGCAATTGCTTTGCAACACTCTCCATGAGACGGAGAAGTATGAGAGCAAAACGCTTCCGTCGATCCGTGCGTGTCTGTCCCTTGTGGAGCTGACGGAGAAGCATAAACCAGGCTTTAGAATGAGAGTGAGTACAGCGAGGCATTGGGCGTCTGAATAAAAGCCACATTTGACTTTGGATTTCACACGTCAGCAAAGTTCCGTTAGTTTGCATTAAGATAGTATTTTTGCTCAGTATTTGTTTTCCTATTTTTAATAAAATAGTTCATTTAAAAAGTGATTTTTTTGTCCTTTCCTGAAGATTAGTCTTGGAAAGAGGGATTGTCTTATAATTGGTTCGACCTATATTCGGGTCAGTACGGTAGTTCTGGTCAGAAATGACACTGCCAATTTCTAACTAACACTTAGCCAATGAAAGTGAACATGGGAGTTCTATGTTCCGGTTTAGTGGCAGATGGCAGCAACTTAATTTCCTGCTATGTGATGAGTGATAATTCCTCAATGGTAAAAACAGTAAAGACCACGGGTCTGGTAGCTACAGTGAATGCTCGGCTTCATGTGATTTTAAGGATTTGGGGGGTAACAGATACATGTGAAACAATTAATCAACAAAAAATAAATAAAAATTATAAATGATAAACAAACAGTCAGGCCTTTGCTGGGTGTGGTATCAGATCTATGATAAGCAAGACAAACGGCTCCAAACAGGTGGTGAAACTCAGCAGCTCAGCTGTTCCTGATCGTGTTTGAATAGAGTAAAATAATGACCACTCAGGAGCAAAGCCGTGAACCAGCACTAAGAATGGACCCGATTTATGAATGACCTCATATTAAAAAAAAAAACAAGAGATACTCAATCTAGTCTGGGGTTGCAAAAAAAATTACAGAATATAAAGTATACGTGGTGGCAAAGCACGACATTATACCAACGTAACACACATAAAAACGTGCTAAATGTTTGTTAAATACACAACAGTCTCTAGTATTAGCTCGTCATTAGTCAAAGACAAGTGGGTTAACATCTATTGTTATCTTTGTCTAATAACTACACTTTACGAGCTCTTAAATAAATACTGTAATCTAACGAGATTAACGACAGCAACACGAGAAAGATAAAATCGCCAACCAGCTGGGATGCTAATTATGTTTTTATGATGAAGGATTTTCTGTCGATTTTAACAGCTTGTGTGCGGTCAGGCTGGCTATCTGCTAAATAGCCAGCGTACCCAAGGTCACCATCGAGAGGGTTCATACTTTGTATTGCTTTGCTGTTGCAATGTTATTTCGGTTAAGGCAACAGCAAGGAACTGATACAAAGCAGAATAACCATAACCGGATCAATAGACTGACGATAGGGAAGTAGGACCAAAAGAACCGCAGTGGGTTAGCGTTAGCCATGTTAGCTCGCTGTGCTAACAGGCGACAACTAAACCGAAATACACGCAGCTGTTAGAAAAATGTTTCAAAATTTGTGGCGTGCAAATACTTTTTGACATAATAAAACAGTTCGAATTGGTACTTTTAGTAAATGTTCAATATCAAAACGTGCATTACCTGGAAATCACGCTCTTCGTTGAACCTAGAAAATCTGTCAGCCATTTTGTAGCTCAGCAGCAGCAGTTGCTCCCGTGTTGTTGAGAGGATGAGCTGGGTCTGCGATCATCCACAGCCTCGCGTCTACACCAAAACACCATCACACATGGGCTGTTAGCTGAGACAGCCTATGGGGCTTCTGCTCAGCTTTACAAAACGGACCTGTGAATCAAAACACACAAACAAACGCACATTTTAACATGTAATTACTTATAAACTAATAAAACAAAAAAGCATAGGGACCCCAGGGGCTTGATGCACCTGTTTTATTTGATTATGTTTAGGAAGAAATGTATGGATAAATAAAAGACAGTATAATTTTGTGAAGTTTCTGGGTTTTATTTTTCAATTTTTATGGGACATCAAAAAGCTGTCTTCAGTCTCATTCAGTCTAATGCAGGAACTTAAGGTATCTGTCGTGATGAGTGCCTCTGTGCTGTCCTTCAGGATTGAACTAAACACACACACACACACACACACACACACACACACACACACACACACACCACCACCACCACCACCACCACCACCACCACCACCACCACCACCACCACCAGATACCTGATGTGGCTGATATCAAGAATGGCTAGAAAGAGCTAGTCTGAAGGACAGATGCACTCATCATGGCTGCACAGGAACAGGCCCTGAACACCAGAGCAACAGAGGCCAAGATCTACCACACCAGACAATACCCAAGGTGTAGGCTATGCAAAGAGGCCCATTAGACAATCCACCACATAACTGCAGGGTGAAAGATGCTGGCAGGGAATGGAACACCACAACCAAGTGGCTGGCATCGTGGACAGAAACATCTGTGCAGAGCAGTGGCTTAGCTATTGGCATAGGTTGGTGGCCACCTGGGGCCCCCTTATGTTGGGGGGCCCTAGTGCCCTGACTGTTGGCACCCCTCTGTTAATGCCACAAGGCACACAAACAGGAAGTCATTGGTAGTCATTCCAGTCCAATTCAGTTGGTGGCAGTAATGCACCAAATTGTTGTTTGCCAAGTGCCATAAGACCACAAAAGAAAACAGAAAAAGAAGAAGAGAGGCGGGAGCGTTCATAACAAACTCGAAGCGATAGTCAACATTAAGCATGAAATAGAGTTATCCTAGTGGCTCCAATAAGAGAAAGAAGCAGCTTGCTTTAAAAAAGCTTTTATCTTCACTTCTGAAAGTGACGTAGTTTTTCAATGTAAACATCAAAAGGAAGCAGAAAAGGAAATACAATGGATAATGTTTGAAGGGAGGAAAACATAGACCAAAATGGAAAATAGAAGGAAAAAAAGAAAAGCAAAAGCACAGGAGCACTGACAAGAAGAAGAAAGCAGAGCAAATATTGAAAGCACTCAAAGGGAGAGAAATACAGGAAAAAAGAGGAGGACTAATGAAAAGGGAAAATAACTCATGTCAGAAGAGGGTAGAGTTTCACAAATCCAGTTAAAGATAAGATTGTCGAAAATTTAGTGTAAGGGGCCCCATTTCTGTGTTCGCCTTGGGCCCCCTGTGGAACTTCCAGATCTAGACAGACAAAATGATGATGGGGCACCAACCGGACGTTGTGGTGGTGGACAAACAACAGAGGACAGCCGCTGTGGTTGGTGTGGCAATACCAAGTGATGGTAACATCAGGAAAAAGGAACACAAGAAACTTGAGAAGTACCAGGGCCTCAAAGAAGAACTTAGAAAGTCTGGAGAGTGAATAAATTGGTGGTGCCTGTGGTCATTGGGGTACTTGGGGCAGTAACCCCCAAACTGGAGGAGTGGCTAAAGCAGATCCCACGAAAAACATCAGACATCTCAGTCCAGAACAATTCAGTTCTAGAAACAGCTACCCTTAAGCTCCCAAATCTATGGTAGAGGACCTGAGCTTGGAAGGATGAGACCACCCGCGGAGGGTGAGAGGGAATTTTTATATGTATATATATATATATATATATATATATATATATATATATATATATATATATATATATATATATGTGTGTGTGTGTGTGTGTGTGTGTGTGTGTGTGTGTATAACTATTTAATTCATTTATTTAACTAAGCAAATAGATACAAACCTCCTATTGGATAATTACTGCATGGGCAATTATCTTTCAGCTGGAGACAAGTTATTTAACCCCAGCTGGTGCAGTGAGTTGCTTCTCATTCCTTCAACAACAATGTAAAGACACATCTGGTGGTTGTAGAAAAGATGTTAGTCTGTGTGAGAAGGGTCAGAACGTTGGCATCAAGCAGAGAAACATCTAAGGAGATTGTAGAAACAACTAAAACTGGGTTAAGAACTGTCCAACGCTTTATTAAAAACTGGTCTGATGAGTCCAGATGGACCCTGTTCCAGAGTGATGGTGCATCAGGGTAAGAAAAGAGGCAGATGAAGTGATGCACCCATCATGCCTAGTGCCTACTGTACAAGCCTGTGGGGGCAGTGCTATGATCTGGGGTTGCTGCAGTTGGTCAGGTCTAGGTTCAGCAACAGGATGTGCACCAAGATTGAGGTCAGCTGACTACCTGAATGACCAGGTTATTCCATTTTCCCTGATGGCACGGGCGTATTCCAAGATGACGATGCCAGGATTCATCGGGCTCAGATGGTGAAAGAGTGGTTCAGGGAGCATGCATCATCATTTTCTCTCATGGATTGGCCACCACAGAGTCCAGACCTGAACCCCATTGAGAATCTTTGGGATGTACTGGAGAAGGCTTTGTGCGGTGGTCAGACTCTACCATCATCAATGCAAGATCTTGGTGAAACATTAATGCAACACTGGATGGAAATAAATCTGGTGACGTTGCAGAAGCTCATCGAAACAATGCCACAGCAAATGTGTGCCATAATAAAAGCTAAAGGCTGCGTGGTGGTGCAGTTGTTAACACTGTTGCCTCGCAGCAAGAAGGTTGCAGGTTCAAAACTTGGCTGTGGCCTTTGTGCATGGCGTTGCATATTCTCCCCATGCATGCATGGGTTTTCTCCGGTTTCCCCCACAGATCACAACATGCCCTATAGGTTAAAAATTGAACATTGCTTTGGATAAAAACATCTGCCAAATATAAACACAAACATAAAGACAGTCCAATTAAATATTAGAGTGTGTGACCTTCTTTTGTGGGTTTTTGAAGAAAAAAAACCTAATAAATATTATCATGCATTACCAATATAAATGTAGTTAATAATTTAATTTCACAGGCAGACGCTAATCTTTTTCAGTCTTGTCATCCATTATTTATTCAGATGTTGATCATTAAAAAACCTGCTAGCCAAATCATTTTTCATTTAAATGTATTCATTATTAATATCGTAAAGAGCTGATCACCAGAATCAAGCTGACAGTGATCCTAACATTATGACCCCCTCTGGTGGTAAATCTGGACCAATACAGAAACCCATTTCTATGCATTCCCCAGTTTACAAGAAACAAGCCAAACAAAAAGAGAAAGTCAGAATGCACCGCATTCCTTTGGAGAACAAAGAGTCACATAATTTTATTTTTGGATTTCATTTGGTCAGACTACTCAACATATATTTCGTTTAGCATTCCCCATTACCAGTAGTTTCTCAGTATGAGTTTGTAGTTCATCACAATAGTCACATTTCATGGCAGACATGTTGATTTGAAAACATTATCAAGGACTGCATCCCCCTTTGTCACATGTGAACAATGGATGATAGTACCCATTTCACTACTGTTGGTTTAAACCTTTTTTTAAAAAAAGGTCAAACATTAAAGCAATACAATGGGTTTGTTGGTGCAAGAAAAAAAAAGAAGGAGAATTCTTACTTTTTTCTCAGAATTCTGACTTTTAATCTAGGAATTCTGACAGGGAATTCTGGGGAACAAGTCAGAATTCTGTTTCTTTTCTTTTCTTTTTTCCTTTTCAGTGGCCCCAATCCTCTTCCATGCCTCTGTCTGTCTATCTATCTATATCTATCTATCTATCTATATCTATCTATCTATCTATCTATCTATCTATCTATCTATCTATCTATCTATCTATCTATCTATCTATCTATCTATCTATCTATCTATCTATCTATCTATCTATCTATCTATCTATCATCTATCTATCTATCTATCTATCTATCTATCTATCTATCTATCTATCTATCTATCTATCTATCTATCTATCTATCTATCTATCTATCTATCTATCTATCTATCTATCTATCTATCTATCTATCTATCTATCTATTAGCAGTAAAGAGTTACAGCTACATGTCACAAATGTCACACAGGAACTTTTACTTATAATTAATGTACATTTTTTAAATTTCCATCTAGGGGTGGGCAATATCATGTCATTCATAATATTACCAGTTATTATTTCCTGCCAAGAAAAACAATCCATCATGTTACAGTTTTTCTCAGTCGCTTTGGTGCGTTTCTCAGAACACTATTAACATTTGCACAGCAGTTAGTGCGTTTCTCAAAACAATTAGTGCAAACTGCACTGCAAAAGCACGTCACATGCTCAAAATTGATAATCCATTCCTCAAAAGCAAGTATTCATGTCAATGAAACTGTCAGTGCCATCAAAATGAAAAGTCTTGACACCATCACTATGAACAAGATAGTCAAATGGCTTTGTCATGTTTTCACTATGACAGTTTATAATTTCAGTGTTTTCCATTGCAAGAATATTTGGTGACACCAGAAAATGCTCAAGACAGCACTATGCCCTACTTGTACAGCCATTTGAAATGTGCAGTAAAGTTACTGTAGACGTTATGGGAGTTTGGGGAGTAACTGAGACACTGAATACGTACGTTTTATATTTTTACTGTATAGAAGTGTTTGTAATTCTACAGCATTGTGCAAAAGAAAATATGCTACAGTCACTTGTTTACTGTAGAATACATGTAAACAAAAAAATCACCCTTTTGGTAGAGCTGTTCACAAATGTGAACAATATACAGCACATGTAACAGTACATACAGTATTGCACAGTACTGTAACATACAGGTACAGTAAATCATTCTGGCACATCCAGACGTTTCT